GTGATTGTGCGTTTCAATCACTAATTTACAGAAAACACATTTCAAATCTGGAGGTTCATGCTTCCACCGACTAATGTGATCTTGGGTTGGTAATTTATTCTGACAAGCCATCCACATGCAAAGAGCATGTTTAGGTATGTATGCTTTATTCCATACCACCTTGTACCAATACACAATCGGCCCCACTTCTTGTAATGTTTGCCATGCCACTTTTACCTCAAATTCTTTCCGATAATGTTTAGCATCAAGCCATCTGACCGTATCCTCATTTTGACTGGGAGGTGGAATCATAATACTTTGCAACTGGGGAAATTATTGTAACCATTCCACCGGCCAATTAATGCCAAACTGTTGCATGAGATCATAAATCGTAGAGTTATTATGAAAGCCATGACCATTTATGAATCTGTAAGACAACAATTGAATAAGGGGACCAAACTCACTCCACGTGTCATCCCAAGCGTGCGTAGATAGACCATTTCCCACATTGTAGATAAAAAATCGTCTGCAATGAGGTCTTAACTCTAAAAGGTTCCAGAGAATCCACGACCATTCATTCCTCTTCTTGATTATCCAAAAATTTCTGCCTCGAATACAATGAGACTGAATCCAAGAGACCCACATGGTATTTCTTCGATTAAGAATGTCCCAAATATGTTTAAAAAGTAAACACCGATTCCAAATCGCTAGTCTTTTCATACCAAGACCACCATGTTGTATAGGTAAGCAGACCCTATCCCAAGATACTCGACATTTTCCCAATTCTCCCTCCGCTTTATTCCATAAAAAATTAGGGAACAACTGTTCAATTTCATGGATAGTGGTTGCCGGTACTAGAAATACCGACATCCAATAGGTTTGCATAGAATGAAGAACAGAGATGATAAGCTGGCGTCTTCCCCCATAAGAAAGAAATTTGTTTTTCCAGTTCAATAATCGAGATTTTAGTTTAAGCACAAGAGGGTTGAAATCACGTACCTTCAATCGCACTGGAGAGAGAGGAACTCCAAGGTAGCGAATAGGAAAAACCCCCGGACGAATAGGTAAGCAGTTGCGAATGATATTTTGAACATCCAACCCCACATTCCCCAAAAACACTTCACTTTTTTCAAGACTCGGAGACAAACCCAAACGATCCTCAAACAATTGTAGAGCTCGTTTTATCACTTCAACTGAGGCAGCATCCCCTCGAGAAAATATAAACAGATCGTCTGCAAAACATAAATGGGTCAACTGTATCTCAGCACATCCTTGATGGTACGCAAAATTAACCTCCTCCTCAATACATTTTGATAGAAGCATCGATAAACCTTCCATAACCACCGTGAACAACTAAGGAGATAATGGATCCCCTTGTCTGAGACCCCTCTTACCATGAAAAAAACCCTCCGATTGTCCATTAACACATATAGAGAAAGTAGGCGATGTGATAAGAGACTTTACCCAGTTAAGCATAACTGGATGAAATCCTATTCCCTTTAGCATCTCTAGAAGAAACTGCCAGTCAACTGTATCATAAGTTTTCAGAATATCAATCTTAAACGCACACTTTGGCTCCCCCTGAGGTTTTTGATAACCTGCTACAAGCTCATGCGCCTTTAAAATATTATCAGTTATCTGTCGTCCTGGGATGAATGCAGATTGAGCCTTGCTAATAAGAACATCCAATGAGCCTTTCATTCTATCAGCTATTTTACTGATACATTTCAGCAAAACATTACAACAGGCAGTGGGTATAAGTAACACATGAAGCATTTGGAACCTTCGGGACAAGGCAAAGTAAAGTATGATTCAACTGGTACTCTAAATTTCCAGAGTAGAAGAAATTATGTACCACAATAAGAACATCCCTACCAACCACACTCCAAGCCGCTTTAAAGAACTTTGACGAGAACCATCAGGCCAAGGAGCCTTGTCATTCCCAATATCGAACAGAGCAGACTGTATTTCCAAATCCGTAATAGGTCTGATTAAATGCAGAGACTCCGATAACGATAAAAAGTGAACAAAAGAGCAATCCACCATAGAAGGACGAATCAACATATTAGACGTACCCAGAATACTTTCAAAATGATTAACAAAAGCTTGTGGAACATCATGATGTTAAAAAACAGTACTAAAAGAATCCATAATAGTAGCAATATGGCTCCTATTACGTTTCTCTCTCATAGCATGAAAGAAGAACTTTGAATTTCCATCCCCTTCATTAAGCCAAGAAATCTTTGCTTTTTGTCGAACCATTTCCACTTGATCATTTCTAGCTTCTTGGTAAGCTAACAAGAGGTGACCAATGTCCTCTTTCAGCAAATCATTAAATGGGTCTAGATCACAAGCCAATTGAGCAACATCAAGTTCCGTCTTTAACATAGCCACCCTCTTATCCGAACACCCATAAGAATTGCGAAGCCGACGACAAACCCCTTTCATCTCTTGCATTTTTCTAAGCATTCTCTTCATATATGAACCTCTCTGAGGCTTCGTCCACACCCCCTCTACGGACTTAAGGAAGTCCATATGAGTAGTCACAAAATTATCAAATTTGAAACCACGTTGACGAAGTCGCCTACCAAATTTGAAGGAAAGAATTCCCGGAGAATGATCTAAGATCCCCCTTGGTTCAAAGAAAACCGAGGCGTCCCCAAATCTAGCAATGAATGCTGAATTACCCAGAATACGATCTAATTTACGCATTATACCGTCACCCCCAGAAGGTTTTTGCATCCATGTATATTGGCACCCCTGATACGTGATATCAAAAAGCTCAACCTCTTCCAGACAAAGATGAAAGTCCTCCATATCTGAGTTACGTCTAGAAGAACCACCCAATCCATCATGAGGAAAAAGCATTGAGTTGAAATCACCCATCGCAACCCATGCTTTTCTTTGAACAAAAGCATTAAATTTACCAATATCCCGCCCAAGGTCCCTCCTTTCCACTCCCGTATTACACCCATAAACAAAGGTAATAAAAATGGGCTCAGGATGACCAATAATCCGAATTTCACAATGCACATATTGTAAGTGCTGCTCAATCATTATCAAGGACAAAACAGACGGGTCCCAAGCAATAATAAGACGAGTGCCATGATCACACATTAACCCATTTGTGATCCAACTCCAATTACCAAACACTCTACCACACACTTCCCCCATTTGACTATGTAAAACTTTAGACTCAATGATGCAACATAAAGAAAGACGTTTTACATGAATAAGATCACGTACCTCTTTTTGCTTTATTAGGGCATTTAGACCCCTAATATTCCAAGCAGCGAACTTAATCATTGAGAATTTGAAGTGAGTATCTCCCCTCTACTTTGTTCCATAGAATGCTCCTCAGTATCAATTATGTCCATATCATCATCATCCCTAGAGTCGTCAGACTGTAAGGAGGAAAACTGATTACTAATAGACGTGGAATTTACAACACCTCGTCTCGGTTGAAAAGCATGAACCACCGCTTGTACAAGTTCCGGACCCCCCCTTGGATAGAATTGTGACATTCGAACGACCATCTCTTCCTTTTGGCGTTCTCCCAGCATCCACCATACAATATTAACTTTCCACATGTTCCACACTTTCACCAACTAAGACTGTAGAAACTGCAGGCTTAACAACTTCCGTGACCTTTTTAGCTACTACCGAGACAGGCGGTACCTCAGTAACCTTCTTTATAGTACCAACACCAACTATCGTATCATGAGTTATAGAAGCCGCACCTGAAGTAGTAGCCTGAGCGCCATTATGAGGTCCAGAATTAATCTTCGGCTTCCAATGTTTTCTTCTAGGTTCTTTAAAACCATCATTATTCGACGACATTAAATTATCCTTTGGCTTTTGTATTTCCCCTTTCATGCAAGAAGACGTACGATGTCCAAAAACTTTGCACTTTGAACATTGTGATGGCACCCAATCATACTCCAAAACCACCTTTTTCACGTCCTCACCAATACCCGAAAGCCTCGGTATTACAACTTCAATTTGCCTCTGTATCTCACCCACAGCCCAAACATCCACCAAAACTTTAGCAAAAGTAGTACGTCCCCAAGCTTTATCACAAGTGCTAGCTGTACAAGCATTCAAACGCAAAGGAATTCCAACTGCACTGGCAATACGGCTAATACCCTCTCTATTGAACGCAACAAGAGGAATGTTAAAAAATTTAATCCATAACGGACATGAGGTATGCTCGGGTTTATGAAGTCCCTTGGAGGGATCCCATGAAGAGACAAAAAGCAGCCTCCCTCTAATCATGAGGGGAGACGACTCAACCACTTGATTGCAACCACCATCATCATTAAACCGAAAAAAGAAATAGCCAAGATCATTTACCATCTATAAGACCAAACTTTCCCCATGCATTTTGTACCGCACGTAGAACAATGGGAAAAGGAAGACGAGGGCCCAAAAAATACCCATAAAGAACTGACTGGAAAGATTTAGCCATACCTCTCGTAGCTTCCAACGGAAAAAGAATCCTAGGTTTCACACTCTTTTCGATCGGAAAGTAAGTCAACTCTTGCTTTGGAGTACCTCCCACTACTGCAACAAATGACTTTTGGGTTTGAGGCCCACCCAAAACTGCAAGAGAAAGGCGTTCCCATACCGAGGTTCTTTTATTGATTCCAATATTGTCCCCAACCACCGGCAAGACCGCCTCCTTTACACCCCCATGCAACTGATCTCCATGCAACGCACAAGAAACCGACTCACCAAGGATGACATCGGCGAAATCCTGTGAAGAGGGTTCTTCCAAGATTGCATCCGCAAAATCAACCATCTTCACCACAACTCAGGAAAACCTAGCTCCCTTAATCCCGGATCAAGAAGCCGTGGTGCTGAAACCCTCTTAGAGTGTCCTTAATAAAATAAACGAAGACCTCACAAGAAGGTGCTGAATATTATATATCAAGGAAACTCTTCAAAGGTAACGAAGACTGCGGAAACACTTGACACAAGAAAAAGGAACCAGAAACGAAAACCCGAACGAAATAACAAGCCTAAAAAACTGCAGCTAACCCAAAAACCAGCAGCATAAACAACGAAACTGCAAGATCACAGCCCTACTCAAACAGCAACAGAAGCAAAACAGCTCAAAGATAACCAGCAACCAAGAAACCAACAGCTCGACGACTAGTTTTAAAAAAAAACCAGCCCCAGGCATACAGCAGCAAAGCAGCAAGACAATGCGAATAAGATCGATAAACCGAATGACAAGCAGCAAAAGAACGCGTGAAACACAGCAGCTAAGTGAAAGCAGGCATGCAAAAACAAACCAGCAGCAACACCAAGCCCAGACGTACAGCAACAAAACAGCAAAACAAACAGAAATCCCTCAAACAGCAGCTTACGCCATAAAGCAGCAGCTAAGCCCAGACCACAAACAGACTATATGCAAACTGCAGAAGGAGAACCCAGCCAAAAGAGAAGAAATAATAAAACCCAACCAACAACACAGGACAACCAGCAGCAAAGACAACAGCTAAATAAAACCCAGCACTATCCACATAAAATCACAGGGAGCAGAAACCCCAGACGAAAACCGAAAGGAAAACCCTAGCCGCACCAAACCTTGGTCGAACCAAAGAATAAGACTAGCATATCCAATCATTTACAAACAGAACGCCAAGAAGATCCGATCACTAACAAACAGAAGCGCCCAAATAAAACAAGAAAAACGTACCAAGATTCGGATCACTAGAAAGCTCACGAAGAAACCTGCCGAAAACGAGCCTCTAGAAGAAAAAACCTGTGAGAAAAAAGCGATCAACCACATGCTTGCGATAACATGCAACCATTAACAACCAAACAAGATCCAGCCGCCTCCAACCCTAACGAACAAAAAACGCAAAACCCACAAAACGTGATCAACCCAATCGCAGTAAACAGCCCTCCATAAGGATTCTTCCATAAGCAGTCTAACTGGGTCAAAATCACACTAAATGGGTCATATTTTGTTTGTTCAGACCTCAATGGGTATCATGGGCTTATTTCTCCTATTTGAGTCTAATTGAGCTATAATGATACTAATGGTTCACAATTAGTATAATCAGACGTTAATGGGAGTAATTGAGGTAGAATGACTCCTAATGGTCCATTTGGTGTTTTTTTTTTTTTTTGAAGGAAAACCTTGGCAAATTTATAAAACGCAATAAAAAGTTTTACAACGCAACCAAAAAACAGAAAGACCGCAACCTACAACAAAGAGCCCCAAGGCCGAAGGAAACACCCCAACCGAGCCACAACAAGCCAAAATAAACAAAGCCCATAAGACGCAAACAAACAACAGAAGAAGATAAAAAAGATAACAAACAACAATAAATAAAAGATTCACAGTTCTTTTAATTCTGATGGAGCTAATCTGTACGATGCTTTCGCTACAGGCGCTGCTCCAGGCATTAAATCAATCCCAAATTCTATAACTCTATTTGGAGGTAATCCTGACAAGTCTTTTGGAAAGATTTCAGGATAATCATTGACAACCGAAATTAATTCTTCTTACTCTTTTCTTTCTTGGCATCGATTACGTAGGCTAAAGATCCTTGGCATTTCTTTTGGATATATTTTATGGCTTTCATAACTGATAACAGACTGGTGCGATGACCTTGATAATCACCAAAAATAACAATTGTTCCTTTGTTTAGCAATACTATTCTAATCATCTTCTTATCACAAACAATGCTGGCCTGATTCTCGGCCAACCAATCCATTCCCACTACTACATCGAAATCTTATATAGGCATGGGAAACAATCTGATGGGTAGCTTGCAACCCCCAATCATGATAGTGCAGTTTTTCAACACATAATTCACAGATACTTGACTGTTAGCAGTATCAACTACTAACTTTTCGTCAAGGGATACAGAATTCATACGAGCATATAAGGCAAATGATAGGGATACAAACGAGAAGTTTGCACCCGAGTCAAATAACACTTTAGCTTGTAATGAGTTCACGGGAAAAGTACCTGTTACTATATCGGGTGTAGTTTCTGCTTGTAATTTTTAGATTTCAAAGTTAAATAAACATATTTTCACATTCCCAAATACAATAAAGTGTCCAAGTTCAGTTATGTACCTATAGATTCAAAATTACATTGGCCAGATGTAWTTCRAAAATACCTTACACACTGATCTCTTAACTTATCATATTTATTCCAAATGTGCTAACTATGTMTGGGACCCTAATATGCAATAAAACAGTTTAAGTCTAGGCATCATGCATGTGAATACCTAAATCTCTTAAACTCAAGCTCTGATACCAACTTCTATAATAATCCCAAATCCATACTGTCACACCCCACTAAAGCGGAAACACGGGATGCTAACAGACAAGCGAGTCTTGGCAACGGTTTAAGAGAAACACATTTTAACCCAAACCAACGCCCTCCAGAGCCAAAAACAAGTCTTCAAGTCAACCATAAGTAATTACAGGACGACTCGCCAACCAATCTGCACGGATGGAGATAGACTGCAGTAATAACTACAGTAAGATCATGAACCGTACGCTTAGTCGCAGAAAAAAGTCTTCTATTACGCTCTTGCCAAATATAGTAAACAGTAGCCGCCACAGCAAGTTTCTGCTTTAACAGTTTCGGACGAATATTAGGATCCGAAATAACTTGAACAATCTGTTCCCACCTTGAAGGCATACCCGACATATCCACTATAAGTAAAACACTAGTCCATACAACTCCAGCATACGAACATTGAAAGAATAAATGATCATGACTATCCAGACATTGACCACAAAGTGAACACTCCAAATCTGGGGGCTCATCCTTCCAATGTAAGCGGTCTTGAGTCGGAAGCCGTCTCTGACAAGCCAACCAAAAACAGAAAGCCTGCTTCGGAATATGACCCGAAAACCAAACCATTTTAGACCAAGGGATCACAGGATGATTACCCTCTAAGGACGCCCAAGCCTTACCCACAGTAAAATCCGAACACATAGTATAATTATCTCTCCAAAGAACTCTATCACAATCAGAAGTCAATAAAGGTAGCGGAGAATTATGAAGCATATCAAACCGTTGAGACCAATCATCAGGCCAATTACCATTCCAGTTTATAATAAGATCACAAGCCGTCGTTAAGGTAGAAAACCCACAAGAATGGACAAACCGGTAAGAGATAAACGCGGATAGAGGACCACAAGGTAACCAAGCATCCTCCCAAGCATTCGTGTTCCGACCATCACCAATTTGAGAAAAAAGAAACCAACGCAAATGACTCCGCAAGTCTAAAAGTTTACGAAAGACCCAAGACCAATTAGAATTCTTACGGACCATCCAGAAATTCGAAGAACGGAGATTATTACTATAAATCCAACGAACCCACATAGAATCCCGTCGCCTAGCAATATCCCRCACATGCTTTGCAAGTAAAGCCCGATTCCAAGTGGATAGTTTTTTAATTCCAAGAACCCCAGATTCCAGCGGCCTACAAACCATATCCCATGATAACCGACATCTACCACGCGGATCTTCCCTTGGAGCCCAAAGGAATTTACGAAATATAGATTCAAGATCATGAATAATACCAGATGGAAATAAGAAAACCGACATCCAATGAAGCTGGAGAGATTGAAGAACCGATATAATAAGCTGGCGCCGTCCACCAAACGAAAGAAACTTAKATTTCCAATTAAGTATACGGTTCTTCACTCTAGCAATCAGCGGAGCATAGTCACAAGACTTCAACCRAGATTGTGATAAAGGAACACCCAAATATCGAACAGGAAAAGCACCAAGCTTGAAGGGAAGGCATTCAAGGATAGCCGCCTTAACGTTGGAAGGAACATTCCCAAAATAAATGTCACTTTTTTCAAGACTAGGCGCTAATCSCGAATAGTTCTGAAAAAGAGCCAGAGCTTTTTTAAGCACTTCAACAGAAAGGACATCCCCTTTTGTAAATACAAACAAATCATCCGCAAAACATAAGTGAGTCAAATCCAAATCCTCACAACCCCGATGGTAAACAAAGTCAGCAGCCTCCCGAATACACTTTTGAAGAAGCAGAGAAAATCCCTCCATAACAATCGTAAACAGATAGGGGGACAACGGATCACCCTGACGAAGACCCCTCCCTCCAAGGAAAAAACCATGGGAATTACCATTAATGGCTAAAGAATAAGAAGGAGTCGACACCATCTCCTTTATCCACTTGACCATAACAGGGTGAAATCCCAAACCTTCAAGCATAACAAAAAGGAACCGCCAATCCACCGTATCATAAGCTTTTCTTATATCAATTTTGAACGCACAACAAGGTGGACCCGTATTAGATTGATAACCAGACACAAGTTCATGCGCCATAAGGATATTATCCGTAATCCTTCTCCCTGGGATAAAAGCCGATTGAGCTTTATCAATTAAAAAATCCAAAGATCCCTTCATTCTATTAACAATGACCTTACTAATGCATTTATAAAGCATAGTACAGCATGCTATAGGCTGGTAATCCGTGACCTTAGATGCATTAATAAAAGAAATTGTGAATTGCAGTCTCCACATCACGGCCAACAATGTCCCAAGCCTCTTTGAAAAACTTAGAAGAAAACCCATCAGACCCAAAGGCTTTATAATTACCAATACTAAACATAGCATTTTTAATTTCCTCATCGTGAATTGGTCTGATCATATGGTTAGCTTCCACCAAAGAAAGTTTACGCATAAAAACATCATTAGTGATAGTCGGTTCAGAAGAAACATACCTCGAACCCAGAAAGTCTTTAAAATGATCCACAAAAACATTAGGCACATCATCACCATAGACATAAGCTCCATCACTTGTACACACAGATTGAATAGAATTGTAATGATGCCGTTCTTTAATCACTTTATGGAAGAATTTAGTATTCAAGTCACCTTCATTCAACCAAGCAATTTTGGCACGTTGTTTCGCAGCACAATTCTCATCCCGACATGCATTTTGATACGCAATACGAATATGACCCAACTCTTGGCCTAGCTCAACATTAGACGGATCATTATTAACATCCAACTGGATACGATCAAGTTCAGTCTTCAAAAAGGCAACATGCTTACCAGGGTTGCTATAAGAATGACGAAGTTTCCGAAGAGGACTCTTCAGCGCCTTCAAATGAGAAGTCACTCGAAACATAAAAGTACCCTCGATATTTTTTCCCATTCCTCCTTTACAACTTGAAGAAAACCAGGATGTTCAGTCAAGAAATTGTCAAATTTAAACCCATGTCTTTTGTTCCGAGTGCCGCATCTGAAAGAAACCGTCACTGGAGCATGATCCGAAAGACCCGGAGGATGAAAGTGAACATTAACATCTTGAAAAACAGACGTGAACTCATCATTGCCCATAGCTCTATCCAATTTCCGCATGATACCTCCCGAAGAGTTCGGTTTTTGGTTCCACGTGAAATGGTCTCCCGTATAATGTAAATCAAATAATTCCACATCCTCTACAAACGCAAAAAATCAGCCATATCCAAGTTACGACGAGAGGATCCTCCAAAACCATCATGAGGGAATAACATGGTGTTAAAATCCCCTATTACAACCCACCGGGAAGAACCAATGAGCACTTTAAATTTCCGCAGCCCCGACCATAAAGCACGACGGGCATTACAAACATTAGCCCCATATACAAAAGAAACGAACATATAGTGTTGACTACCCTGTACAAGCACCTTCTAAAACCATGACATCTAAAAATCGAGCATCCCAAGCAAGGATTATACGAGTACCATAATCACTCATGGTTTGATTAGAAACCCAGTACCACTGACCGAAAGAGTTATAGCAAACACTTTCAAGAGAATCCTTAGAAACATGAGATTCGACAATGGAACATAAACACAAATCATTACAATGGAGAAAATTTCGTACCTCTTTTTGTTTAACCGGAGAATTAAGCCCCCGGATATTCCATGAAGCAAATTTCATCATGAGGAAGGGTTTAGATTTTCTTCTTGCTCCCTATTATTCTGATTATACCCCTGACCATCAGTCAGATCATTGACCACCTCATCATGAGTGTCCACCCGAGAAGTCTCTTCCCCTAAAGTCTCAAGAACACCAAACTGATTAGAATCAACATGGTTTATCACTACTCCTCGTCTCGGCAACCGAAAATTTTTAATCACATAAGATATAAGTGGGGTAGGAGTAGACATAGCATGGTTCGAAGACTTAGAAGATGAAGATGAAGGCCCATAAAAGTTCTTACCTGGTTCACCCAACACATCCCTCCCCTCTGGCAAAGGAGGATCCATCAACTCAACATTATTAGAAACCAGTCTCTTCTATTTCCCTTCCTTGACTTACAACGTTCACTCCCAAAGACGCTTCATGAGTGTTTGATTCCTTTCTTCCATTGTCCGTTTTATCACTAGAGTGATCAGCTTTATTTCCACCTTTAACCCGCCATTGTTTTTTCGCCACTCTAGTAAACCCATCAGCATCTTTTCGGCTATCAATTTGTTTACCTTTATTCAAACTAGCGGCTTTAACACACGACGAAAGTTTGTGACCAAAAATTTGACAATGGGTACATTGAATCGGTTCCCATAAGTATTCTACTTGAATTTGCACACTATCGGGTTCACCACCATTAATGTTTGGGATTTCAACATCAATTTTCCGTTTTAGATCACCCACAGCCCAAACCTCAACAAGAACTTTTGCAAAACCAGGCCGACCCCAAGCTTTTTCACACATTGAAGCAGTGCACGAATCCATTTGTTTTGGAATACCCAAAACACTCGCAATACGACTAACGCCTTCTTTATTGAACACAACTAACGGAATATTATGGAGTTTCACCCATAATGGACAGGAGGAATGTTCCGGCTTTTTTAATCCCTTGGACGGATCCCAACGATGAACAAATAAAGGAATGCCTCTGATCATCAACGGGCCAGCCTCAATCACTTGATCACATCCACCAACGTCATTAAATTTAAAGAAAAAAATACCATTCTCATTAAGCATCGCATCCAAAAATCCAAATTTACCCCACGCCAGTTTAACAAACTTTTTCACAAGAGGAAAAGGGATACGAGGCCCCAGGAAATAGCCGTATAAAACTGAGTTATAGGCTTTGGCAGCTTCCTTCGCCATTTCAATAGGGATAGAGACATGAGCCTGTTTTTTGCCCGCAAGGGGATAAAAATTCAGATCAGTTGTCATAGAACGGCCAACCGCTTTAGCAAAATCCAGGCTATTACGTTCACCATTACCCAAAAACATTACTTTGATCCACAGAAGTAAGCCTATCAAAAACCGAAACCCTAATAGGGTTAGTGGTAAGATTATCATCACCCATTACACCAGTTAAGAAGCCATGGTGCTGAAGTTTCCTTTAAATACCCGAGTGAATTAGACGAAGACCCCCTAAGAGGTGCTGAATAACCACTAGGAATACTTTCAGAGAACAACGAAGACCACAGAAACACTTAACCAGCACAAGAGAGAATTAAATCAATCCCACGATCAACCAAACAGCAGCAAAACGACTGTTTAACGAGAAAACAGCAGCAAAAGCAGAAAAAGGGAAGCAAAACTCACCCACGATAATAACTAGCAGTAAAACGAACCAACGATTAAACCTCCACCGTCAACAGCAGCAAATAGGATCAAATGACAGCAGCAAAACAGAATTAAAGCAACCACCCAACACCTAAAATGACCAAAATCGAATTGCACCAAACGAAACAGCCCGACAGTATCCTTAACGATTTGCCCTTTAAAATCACAGCAACCAAACCACAACCAGCAAACAGCACTAGATCGGTCACATAAAATCACAACAAGGACAGTAGAAACGATAAGGTAACAGCAGATTAAGAACGAGTCAAACCACATAGTCTCAAAACATCAAACATAACCCAAACTCAGCAAAAAGAAGGATCCCAGCACCAAGAATCTGTTACAAAGAAGAAAACAACAGCTATGGAAACAGCCACTTGAAACCCTAATACGCAAACCAAACCCTAGCTGCACCAAACCTTTGTCGATCCAGACTCCAAACCGGAAGAGGACGAACCAGAACTTAGGACGCAGCGAAGATCAAAACCAAACAGAAAAACATACCATATGAAGGAAACCCTAGTAGCCGCCGACTTGGAAACCTACAAAGCATGCAAACCCTAGCGCCACCACCAGTAGATCCTAGTCCGAAAGCAAATCCCGTCGTGAAAAAAGTCGACCATATCGAAAATCTCACAGCAGAAAATCAAGAGAAAACCGACGTGAAAGAAAAAACCAACCGAAAACCCTAATCTTTCAACAACGGCTTCAACGCATAAAACACAAAGCAATCAAAAGCAAATAACCAATGCAAGAAGGCATGAAAAAAAACATGCATTAGTCATCTACGATCCATACTTCACCACCATCTTCTTGCACACAAACCTAGAGAGAAAAAGTCAACAGCGGTCAACTAGTTTGATCAGAGCTTTCCATTTGGTGTTTAGTGGATATAATGGACCTATTTCTCTTTAAAAAGTCCAATATTGTGAAAATGACTCAAACTAGGTCATAATATGTCTTTTTAGACCCTAATGGGTTTAATGGCCCCAATTCTCCATAAGCAGTCTATGATAACTGGATCTTGGTTATCACCCAATGCAATTAATATGTGATTATCTGATTAAATGATTACGTGATAGCATGATAAATTTGGTTTATTTGATCATGCTAGTGTGTGTGGAAATTATATGCATAATATGGATACATGTATGAGATTATGTGCATAT